GGACTTCCCCACTCCCAGTCTCTCACTTCCCTCTGTCTCCCGATCCCCATCCCATGGTTTGGTCTGGACTTGGACTTGGCTCTCTCGCTTCTCATACATACATTTATTTGTTCATTTATCAGGTATGGTATGGCATCTTCCACGTGCGGGACGTTGTAGTAGACATTAGGGGATCCAATAGGAAAAGAGACAGACCAGGGCCGTTTTTGACCATCCAGCCCCAAAATTGAATTGCCCCCTCTGAGCAACAAACCCTCCTTTTCTCCCCTCCCCGGCCGCTCGTTCTACAACTGGGCACATTTAAATACGTTCTAGGACTTTCTTCCTCAGGCTTTGTTTCTGATGCTATTTGGATTTTTTTTTTAACTTACCATTCTTTTTCAGATATTGGTTCTAGACCTATCTCCTATTTTAGGAAGATATTCTCAAGTTTTCTTTACTGCCCTGCTTTTTTCTGTTTTGTTCTTACATGTACTATAGAGTGACCTTCGTTGTAGCTGTGGTCCATGGTAACACGAAGTACTTTACTAATTTATTCCATTACTTATTCTTTTGCAAAATTTGAGATATCATCTGGTGGGGCCCTTTAATTTAAAGGTGGGACAGCTGAGCCCAAGAATATGCCTTGTGGGCTCAGGCCCAGATTCCCAGGTCTTCTGTTTCCCAGGGATGATGCCCACCCCCGCCCCAGGCCCTTAGAAACTGTTTAATAGGCACAGTTAGTACTAATAGCAAACACTTAATACCTGCTATGTGTGCAACAGCTCGCTGAGGTTGATAGTATTTTCTCCCTGTCAGATAAGGAAATTGAGAAACAAACACTAAATAATTCGTCTAATTTCATATAACTAGGTGTGGACCCAGAAAGTCTGATTTAGAGCTTGTCTCTTAACCCTTACACTATATAAATAACTTCTGTTTGTCTGTAACCTAACACGTTAAGCGCCCAGTCACCAGCGACTGACACTATACTTTATGTCTGGAAGACAAAAAGTGTTAAGGGTAAGAATAAAAACATAACATTTTTGTGCCGGAGACCTGATTGAGTGTGAATACTTTTTTGATCCGTTTTAAGGTGAGAGAAGAGGTGAGACATCATTTAGTTTCAAAGTCCAAGTGAAAAATGAAGTAGATTGGTTTCTCATTTCTCCAATAGCATCCTTAACACTTCAACCATCGCCAAGGGGTTCTTCCATGGATTGTGTGTCATGTCATTGCTCTGTGGGTAATTCACCTGGCTGACTTGGAATTAGTCATTGTTGAATTGTGCTATTTAGTTACAGCTAGGCCCTTTCTATTAATGTGAGTGGAAATTCCCCATAAATCAGTTAAATTAACTGAATGTTGAAAGTAGAATATACTTTAGTATAGCACAGTATATACAAGGTGGGGTAAAAGTAGGTTTATAATTGTTCATATGGAAAGTAATACAATAAGTAATAATATGTGTACATTTGGGCTTTTGAGGGAGGACTCGATTAAATTTTGTATTCTTACAGAAACAACGATGCCTTTGTTTCTGTTTAAAGAGCAGCAGTATTAGATAATAGCATGGATGAAATATCCAGATCCACTTGGAAAATTGTATTTTGAGATCACAAAAAGATGACTTGTTTTCCTAGTTAACATGCTTTCTTAAGAATTGTAATCTAATATACAATTAAAGTGGGCAGAATTATCCATTTCAGGACCTGAAATGGATGGATATATATATATTTTTCCACACACATCTATAGCAAAACAGTGTAACAAGATTTAATTTTCTCATTCTATATACAGAAATTGTATACTTGGTGTTCTTTTCCTTTAAAATTCACCCCAATTGTTGAAGCATGATTATGAATGCTTTTCCAATACATACTTGTTCCCAAGTTGGGGAAATAATATAACTTGTTAAATTTTAAATGGGAAGTTTTTGGGAGCTTCAGTTAGAAAACAAACCAAATCAGAAGCTCCTAGCACAATGAAAAACAAAAGTGTAGATGTATTTTGTGCCATTGTTAGTTTTTGTCCAAGCATAGTCTTTTGTGAAATAAACAGGGTTGAGAAAGTTAATTTAAAAAAATAAATGTTCTGTTTAGACTTCGGCTTAGAGTAGAAAAATAGATTCTTTCTGTTGAATGATCTCTAACCATGTAATTAGAAATTTTGCTAATTTTTAGTTTTTCAAGTTTTCTGTGCCTAACAGAAACAGTACTTACATAATACATTTTTGTACATTTTATGACTTTTATGGCTAATTACTTTTGCTTTAAGAAAACATTCATTTAAATTATCTTTATTGTATAGTGTTGTTATAACACTTTTTACCTTTGATACTCTGTTTCTTTAGTCTTTTTAGCATATACTCATGAATTACTATTACAAATGGGAGTAGTTTTGCCCTATGTCTTTCTTGAATAATGTGTGCTTATTTCAAAAATGAATAAATAGGTTTTTAGTGTTCCTTTTCACACAAAACATTCAATAATTTGAAATTGTCACTTATGTCTTTTCAGACATGGAATGTGGACCTCCAAGAATTAATGATAAACTAATGAGGTTCTTTGATCATTGTGAAAAGTTTTTAACTGAAGTGGAAAGGAATGATACGGCTCTTTATCATGTAGAAGCCTTCAAAACTGGACCAGAAATGCAGAACATTTTAAAAAAAGTTGCAGCTACTTTGCAAGTGCCAGTCAACAATTTAAATGCAGGTAATGTGCCTATTATCTTTCATTTGAATTCTGAAGTAGTTAAATGGTTTTTGAACTCTGAAAATGGAAAAAATATGGAAGAATAAAGTTATTCCTTTTAAAAGATCCACAGTTGATTTTACAGTAAGAAAATAATATGTTTTCAGTCATGCTTAACTACTTTTAGATTGAAATTCTTTGAGTTTTATGTAAATTAATGGACAGGATTTTTGCTATATTCTGGAATTTTTTTGAGGGCAGAGGTATATAAAGTTTCAACTTTCAGCATTGTATATAGGACAAAAATTATTTTTTCTGTGTTATCTCTTTGTAACGTGCTTTTGAAGCAATTCAGAAGTACATGTTCATGTCTTGAAAGGGATAAGTTTTAGAAAGTGAAAGGCACAGTAATGTGATATTTTTTTTCTTTAGGCTTTAAACTTAGAGATGCTGAGAAAATGGACAGTCATGTCTGTCATAAGGTATTGCAGTGGAGATGAGCTGACTGTAGTTTATCATGCAACCTAGGACACTTGGAGGGTGAAAGTGACATTATTAATAATTATGCCAGGAAAGTAGGTGGAAAACCAGGACATATGGTCACTTAGAAATGGGAAGTTAGGAAAAACAATAATTTTTTTTAGGAAATTATAATGCATAGAGCAGGTGTTGACAAATATGCATACAAAGATTGTGGATTTCATTATATTGTGAATAAATTTCCAAAAGACTAGTAGTAGAAGATGTTGGAGAAAAAATGCAGACTGGAATCTGTCAGTCATGGAGACTGAATGCTTACCGTTTAAAGGATCAAACAAGTGAAAATGCCTAGACTAGGCTAGCATTTTAAACTTGAATTTTTCCTCTTTCCCCAAATTGGTTGGTCATCTGCCAGTTTTAAAAATTATTTATTTTATTAGGAAATAATTCAAGCATATACATAATAATAATGGCTAATATAATGAATGTTGTTATACCCACAACTTATTTTTATCAGATTTTAATATTGTGCTTCAGTTAGTTGCTTTAAGGATATTGAGGTCTTTTGGTCCTGCTGGAGGATCTCATTCATCTCCTTTTCTCTCCACAAGTAACCATTGTCATGAATGGACCACTTAAATCATTCCTTGCCAGTTTTTTGGTGTTCGTTTGTTTTGTTTTGTGGGTTTGTTTGTTTTTTAGATTTTTAAAATTGATTTTTAGTGAGTGAGGAGGGGAGAGGGAGAGACACATCCATTGTTTGCCTCTTGCACGCCCCCTACTGGGGATCAAGCCTGACTCCTGGGGTTGGAGCTATTGTAGTCCAAATTCTTTTTAGTTTAATTGGGCTGGAATTTAGATATCCTCATGGTTTCTCCTGACAGTTCCAGTTCCTCCCCTTTGGATTATACAGAGTTAGCCTTAATCTTTGATAGCCAGGAAGAAACTGACAACTAACTTTATCCAGTTTCTTCAGTTGTGCTGCACATGGCACTCTATAGATATTTAGCCTTTGAAAAATTGCAAAGTAGTAACCTACAAATTTTACCTTTCTCCCCCCAGACTTGATTCAGGTAGCTTTTTTTACCTGTTCATTTGACCTGGCAATTAAAGGTGTTAAATCGCCTTGGTGTGATGTTTTTGACACAGATGATGCAATGGTAAGTGCTAATTTTGCAGTTTCTTTCCTTTTTTGCATGCTTTATTGTTGCTTGAAGTATCTTCTCAAAAAATAAGCAGAGTAGGGAACATTAACTATCTTTGACTAACTCATAATTTTTCTTAACAAAAGAGAGATTTTGCTTGTTCAGATAGGGCCTACCTACTTATAACTAGTTTGTGTTCATAAAACTCTGGAAAACATTCTTCCATTGTGATTTGATTTCTAGGTCCACCCAATTAAAAATGAATTTAACCCAATATCAGATTTTATTGCTGGAGAGGATTATAGAGCTAATATAATTTAAATTCTCCTTTTTATAGGAAGCCAAGGCTCAGAGAGGATGAATGGTTTTCCAAAAGTCTGTTTCTTTTATAACAGTTTGGATGATAAATTGAGTTCTGTTCCACCTGGTGATGGCAGTAATTCATCTACAATTTCTTTCTGCCTACTTCATATTTTTTCCTCCTCAATAATATGCCTTCTTTGTAGAGAGGCCTCTGGTGACTTTAAGGGAGGTAAATTCTGACCAGTTTTGGGATGTTAGAAGCCAGAGAGGTGAGGTAGGAGAGCATTACTTTTTTTTTTTTTTAAGTATTGAGGATTGCAGCATAGGATAGAATTCTGGGGATGAGATAGTGAGATAGGATGTTTGTATGTATGCATCATTAAGGAATATGGACTTTTGAAACCTTAATCATCTTCATCTCTTGCATACATATGAAACCTTCAATGCTCCATATGAAAATAAATTAACTTCAAATTTTAACCTCAAACTTTGAAAAGTAGTATACTATTTGCCAGATAGAAGCAGGATTTTAAGGTGAGAACTAATGTATCTTTGGAGGTAAAGGAGTGATTTATTTTGTTCCTCGAAGACAAGTGACCAGCAAGCAGGTTTTATGTGGTATGGTGTCAACGTGGAACTAGGGCTCAGTGGCTGAGTTGGAAGAAGGGGAAAGGGCCCTCAGTAGATGGTTACTGTAGGATGCTGAGCACCAAAAGTAATCGGTGTGCTCTCTTTTCTCTCTGTGATCCTGAGTGTCATGATGATCTTTTTCTTTGTCCCGGGTACCCAGTATCTTTCTTATCTCCTCTAATAGTCCACAACTCATCACTTCAGAAACTTACTTGTGTTCCCCCGTTTGTTATGACCTCTGCTTAAGATGATCATAAAATTTGACTTTTAAATTGGGATACTTTGTGAAATGAGCACCATTAGTAAGTATGCTGGTGTAAAAATACCATGTGCGGGCGCGTACGCACAGTGCGATTGAAACTTCGTGGCCCATGCGCAGAAGTCGGTATTTTGTGGAAGAGCCACACTCACGGGGCTAAAGAGCTGCAAGTGGCTCGCGAGCCACCTTTGCCAAGCCGCAGTTTGCCAACCACTACTCTAGGGAAGAAAGCCAATGAGCAGAATTAAAGCAATTCTCAGTATTGTGTAAATGACTGAAGGGTGTTGGCAAAAAGGGAATTTTAACAAAAGAGTAACTCATTTGCCCAAGTCACTGCAGTTGTTGGGGTATTTGGCATGTGCCCATCTGGCCCCCTGCTGTCTGCCCGTTCCCTGTCCTCAGTGGCTCTCCGTGTGGTCCCTTACTTCTGAGGTCTGACAGTTTCTAGATTAAGTGCAAGCCACTCCCTGCAGTAAAGACGTACATCTCAGATCAGAGCCAGCCTCTGCTTCATCTTTGTGTCACCTACTTGTATTTCCTTCCCTTTTCCTATTTGGATTCCTTTCCAATCAAACATTGTACTTTCCTTTTGTGCATCTTTCTCTTCTGGGAGATAGTTTGATAGATTACAAAAACCCTGGTCAAAGTAACACTTAATCTTTCTGTGCCTCAATTTCCTTATCTATTAAGAGACTAGAGGCCCGGTGCACGAGATTTGTGCACTGGGAGGTGGGGGGCGGGGGGCGCTCAGCCTGGCCTGCACCTTCTCGCAGTCTGGGACCCCTTGGGGGATGTCTGCCTGCCAGCTTAGGCCCAATCCCTAAGCTGGCAGGCAGACATTCCTCTCGCAGTCCGGGACCCCTCGCTCTTACTGCCCACCTGCAGCAGAGATAGGAGAGGCTCCCACCACTGTCGCTGGGCTAGCCAGCTGTTTGGCTGAGTAGCACTCCCCCTGTAGGAGCGCACTGACCACAAGGGAGCAGCTCCTGCATTGAGCATCTGTCTCCTGGTGGTCAGTGCACATCATAGCGACCAGTTGTTCTGCCCTTTGGTCGATTTGCATATTATACTTTTATTATATAGGATAGAACTATCAGGTGACTCAGGAACACTCCTATAACTAAAACTCTATACTAGTGTTTTACTTTTCTTTTTAAGATTACCCTTTTGTCTCTTTATTGCTTATGAATGCCTCTCCCGCAACTTATTTTGAAAAATTTCCAACTAACAGAAACTGTAAGAATAATACCATGAATGTTCATGTCCTTCATCTATATTCACCAGTTGTTAACCTTTCTTTTGCTACATTTGCTTTTTTCTACATATATTAGTTACCTAGACTTAGTGGTTTAAAACAACACAAATTTATTATCTTCTGGAAATCAGAATTCGAAAATGAATTTTATAGGGCTAAAATTAAGGATTAAGGAAGGCTGTGTTTTTTCTGGAGGCTTTAGGGTGCAAGTGGGGGACATCCGACCCTGCCAAGGCATTAGGAGTGAGTTAATTAAATGGTTGACCAAATATAGTAGGCTAATTTTTAAGTTGATAATTTTGTATGGCCTGTGAATGATGTTATAAATATTCAAAGGCCCTTGGCAAAAAAAGGTTCCTCACCCCTTTCTTTTCCGGTCTCTAGAGGCCACCTGTATTCCTTGTATCATTCTGACCTCTGCTTCCATGGTTATGTTTTCTACTCTGACTGTACTTCCTGTCTACTTAAAAGGATCTGTGTGATTATATTGGGTCCACCTGGATAATTTAGGATAATTTTCCCATCTTAAGATCCTTAACTTAATCACAAATTTCCTTTTATTATGTAAAATAACATTCAGAGGTTCTAGGGATTAGGATATAGACATCTTTGGAGGTCATTTATTCTGTCTACCACATATCTGTAACATTCTCCTACATTTTTATTGATTTCAGAGAGGAAGGGAGAGGGAGAGAGAGATAGAAACATCAATGATGAGAGAGAATCATTGATCAGCTGCCTCCTGCACACCTCACACTGGGGATCGAGCCTGCAGCCGGGCATGTGCCCTGACCAAAATCGAACCTTGACCTGGTTCATAGGTCAACGCTCAACCATTGAACCACGCCAGCCAAGCTCAAGTCTTTTTGATGTAAAGTTTTAATAGTGCAAATAGGATTTTTTTAAAAATTCCAGTTATAACTACTGTTTCATTTCTGATACCATTTTTGTTTTATTTTTGGAATAGATTTGATAGAACTTTGTATTTATTTTAGTTTCTTTTTTTACTTTTTAAAAATGTTTACTTTGGACTTTTTGCTAACTTTTCTGATTTAGTTGCCTCTTTAATAAATGTTTAGTTTTGTTTTGGTTATATGGCACTAACCTGCTCTTGCTCTATGTCTTGTACTTAGTTTCTCTCTCAAGCATGTCAAACTCACAGCATTAAATGAGACATTCAGCCCACTGCCCGCAATTTTGACATACCTGCTTAGGGGCTCTTTTGGGAAGAATGGCTCATAACTACTATATAGGCTCTCATGGACCTCTATTGGGTTGCAGGTTTTAATTCCCTAGTTTTGGTTTTTATCTGATCAAATAATACTTGCATACAAAGCTTAACTTTCAGGTAAAGAAAGGCTACCTTAATCACCAACTCCAATTCAAGACCACTCCACAGCAATTAATTACTGTTGTTAATTGATATATATCTTTCTAACCTTTGCTATTTATAATCTGCATCATTTTTAGAAATGTAAACAGTCTAGTGTCTACGTGTGTTTTAGTAACAAATGGTAATTTTACTATTTTTATTCTTAATTTGCTCTTCTCATTCAGCAGTATATCTTGGAGAGCTTCCATGTTAGTACTTGTAGATTTACAATATAGAATTTTTTTCATTGTTTTTTTTGTTGTTGTTTTGTGTTTTAGAGAGAGAGAGAGAGAGAGAGAGAGAGAGAGAGAGAGAGGGAGAGAGAGGAAAGACCAGTGGGGGAGAGAGAAGCATCAATTGGCTGCCTCCTGCGTGTCCCCTACCAGGAATCAAGCCAGGGTCAATGCCCTGACCAGAAATTGAAGCAGCAACCTTTCGGTGTATGGTATGATGCCCAACCAACTGGGTAACACTGGCCAGGGCAACAGTGTAGAATTTTTAATAACTGCATAGTATTCAATAGTATGTGAATACTATAGTTTAGTTAACTATCTATTAATGATATTTAGATATTTTCAGGAATATTTTTTTGATTCCTGTAAGCAGTGCTGCTGTAAGACATTCTTGTATGTTCTCTTTTATGTTCCTCTGTGAATATTATTTTATTAGAAATGGAATTAAATGGGTCTTAGAGATAAATGTTTGTATGGATTTTGCCAATTTGCCCTTTGAATATCTACAACAATATACATTACTTTTAGCAGCACCAGTTCTCCATATTTTTGGCCTACTTCTATTCCTTTTATTTTTGCCAAACTAATACATTAATCAAAGTAACTCATTTTCTGTCTGATTTCTACCTTTCTAAAATTCTTAAAAATTCCTGATCTAATCTTGGCATCTTTCTGTACTGTAATAATATTCCATGTATATCTTTTATTTTTCTGTATATATCTTTCCTATCATCTTAATACAATTTTAGAAGAAAGGAGATGTGAACACATGTCTGTAATAACCCACTGTTCTGAGCTGTTTTGGATGCTGGACTTTTGGCTGTGAGGTCTAACTTGCTTTTGCATGCTGTCCTCTACATTTCCACAATTTTAATTCATATGTCAACATATATCTCTGTGTGGCATAAATCTTTGGGTCCAATTAAAGTACTTGAAATGGTAAGTGTAAATTAGGGAATTTGTTACATGAATAAAAATGTAATGATTTAAAAAATGATTTTGAAATTTTTATTTTTAGGTTTTAGAATATTTAAATGATCTGAAACAATATTGGAAAAGAGGATATGGGTATACTATTAATAGTCGATCCAGCTGCATCCTGTTTCAAGATATCTTTCAGCACTTGGACAAAGCAGTTGAACAGAAAAAAAGGTAAAAACTTAAAAAATAATTTTATTTTTTAATCTTCACCTGAGGACATGTTTATTGGTGGTGGCGGGGAATGAGAGAGAAAGAGAGAAACATAAATGTGAGAGAGAAGCATTGATTGGTTGCCTCTTGCACGTACCCCCACCAGGCACCAAACCTGTAAAACCAGGCATATGCCCTGACAGGAATCAAACCCGAGGCCTTTCGGAGTACAGGATGATGCTCCAACCATCTGAGCCACACTGGCCAGGGCATGAAGTTTATTCTGTGTGCCCAGTTAAGCTTATTTTTAAAAATAGGTTTTGTTTGTATATTTGACTCTATCCTCTGAGCCAAACCAGCCAGGGCTAGATTTGCTATTTAAACACTGTTTGCGCAGCTATGATTAGAAAAACAGAATGAATTTAATAAAGAAATGTGATGTACCTGGATTTTATTCTACTCTTTCCTTCCCCATTATTTCTATCAGTATATTTCTGTCCTGCTTTTTCAAAGTAAAGTTTATATTCTGGAATGTAATTGCTTGCCTCATGAGATCTTTTTTTTGTGAGTGATACTCTCAGACACCAAAATTAATTGCTATAAATATTTCTTATTTTCATTGAATAACTTTCATTATCCTTTTTCTAACTTTTCATTGACTCTCAAATCTCTGTTATTTTCAGATTTCACTGGGTATGGGTATGGCTTTTTAAGGTTGTGTAGTTCCATATTTTAACATAAGATGGCAGCATTGAAATAAATGTATAAAATAGCCATTTGGTTAATTAGCCCATTATAATGGTAGAGCTTTGTCTTTTAAAGTTCTTAGAAATGCATGCAGATTCTAAGTCCTCAGAACCTATTCTTGCTGGTCTTATTGCTAATTTTCTGAAGTTAGTGTTCCAGGGAATTTTAACTCAGTGTACCAGGAGGTGCCACCTCAGTTTTAGTGCTAGTTATCGAAAGAGACTAGCTAAATGAGGTAAAAAGCAATGTTCTCTGAATGCAAATTCAAATGGCCAGTTGCTCCTGGAAAGATACTTTCTGATTCTCAGTGGACTATAGGTCTGTGATACCTGGAACTTTGTTTATTTCACCGCTCTCTCCTCAGTGCCTATGAACAAGTATGGAATGCAGTTGGAATGCTCAGTAGATATTGAAAGACTATCCACAATCCTTTTTCTGGTATTCCCTGTTCTGGTCAATGACACCATCATCCTCCCAGGCAGCCAAGCCACAAACCGATGCATCATTTTTACCCTGTCTCCTTCATCCTCTACATCTCCTAATATTGTGATTTTTTTCTTTTGGCTTCCAGTTTTATATCAATCTCTTCCACTTTTCTTCACCCCTCACTGCTACTGCTATTGGTGGAAGTATGGGGTCCACATCTCCATCTGTTGCTAGTGGGAGTGGGCTTCTTGCGATATCCCAAGAAAATGAATTTTCTGAGACTCACGGGGGAGGATGAGATATTGTAGGAAGTTTTATTTCTGTGGAAAGTTTTATTTCAAGCCCCTTAGTTTCCAAGGTTTCATTTCCCTCAGTACCACCAAGGAAAAAGTCCTATTTTGCCTTTAGTAGGGCTATAATCAGAGCCAGTGTCTAGAATTTTTGTTCCATATTGGCACTCCCAGTCCAGCATCAGGCTAGCTTAGCTTGTGTTCCCAACTTCAATCCATTAGTCCATTGTGTGTGGAGTCCGCACGGCTGTGGGCCATACAGGGGAAATGTAAAGAATCGGTACAAGAGAGCTCCATGAGCCAAGAGCAGTAAGAGAGGATTCCTTTTTTTAGGGATTATGTCTTCCTAAATTTTCACAGGCTTGCATTGGCTGCACCCATTCTGGCCAATCCATGGTTCCCCAGGCTTGACTGACAGGCAAGTACCTTCCCTAGTCACCCCAGCTTCACTGTACATGCATCTGTCTCCCCTTTGTTGGACTCCTTTATCCCTAGTGATCTGCAAGCTTTCCAGTGGCCATGCTTTTAATGTCTGGCCTTCCCTTTGCTCCTTTCCTATTAGTAGTAATACCTAGCTAATTACATAGGTATCACTACCACCTCAGTTTATGCCAGCTAATATCTTCTAGATTTTAGCACCTGCCTCCTACGTGCTTTCCTAAATTTCAGTGTTACTCCCATTCCACTCTAACACAGCTTACTCAGGCAGAAGGTGAGTACATTTAAATTACTGTCTCAAAGAACTCATGTCTGGTTTGGAGGATATTTGTAAAACCACTAAAAAAAATGCTGAAGGAGAATAAATTTGAACTGTGGGGTTTGGTAAAGGCTTGATGGAGGGAGGAATCTTTGAGCTTGGTTACTGAAAATTTCTGTCACTAACCTCAGCATATGAGCCCTTAATATTTTTGATTTTTTTAAAATAGCTCTATTGAGGTATAGTTGATATAAACAGCACATACTTAAAGTGTTCAATTTGATGAGTTTTTATATATATGTTTATACCCATGAAATTGTCACCAAAATTATGATAATGAAATATCCATCACATGCAAAGATTTCTTTGTAATCTACTTTCCACCCCCTCCACCCCTACCCCTATTTCAAACTGGGCAACCACTGATCTACTTTCTGACACTATAAATTAATTTGTGTGTTTTTTTAGAATTTTATATACTGGAATCATATAATATGTACATTTTTTTGGTTTGGCTTCTTTCACTCAGCTCAATGTTATGAGATTTACCCATCATGTTGTGGCTATGAGTAGTTAATTCCTTTTTAAGGCTGAGTAATATTCCCTCCATGGGTACACCACAATTTGTTTCTCCACTCTCCTTATGATGGACATTTGGGTTGTTTCCACTTTGAGGCTATTACAGATAAAGCTGCTGTGGACCTTTGTGGTCTTTATATGGACATATGCATATCATTTCTCTTGGATAATATCTAGAGAGCTGGAATAGCTGAGTCATATATAGGTGTATGTTTAACTTTTTAAGAAACTGCCAATCTCTTCCCACCAATGTATGAGAGTTCCTGTTATTCTTCATCCTAGCCAATACTTGGTATAGTAGATCTTTTTAATTATAGCCATTATAATGGGTGTTTAATAGTACCTCATTTGGTTTTAGTTTGCATTTCCCTAAAAATTAATGATATTGAGCATCTTTTCACATTTTGGGAGGCTCCCCTTCCCTGTGCTGCAGCCTTGAAACTCCAGGCAGTAATCTGGGACAGTTGTTGGGGTTCACCTGATTTGCCTTCCTTCACTCTTACTGTATTGTTGAATGCCTGAAAAATGCTCTTTGTATATATTGTCTGATTCTATAGTAGTTCAAAGCAGAAAGGTAAATCGGTTCCTGTTATTCCATCTTGAATGGAAGCAGAATTTATTTTTATGTCTTTGCTTGAGAAAAAAATCTTTATGTTTGAGCCATTTTAGTTCTACATTTGTGTTAAGCTGTCAAATAGATGCTTCTCCAGATGCCTCATTGGAGCTGATATTTCAATCAGATGCATAAGAAGATACAACATTTTCCTGTTAATTTTCTTCCCAAAGCTCCTCATATCTCTGGCAGTTCATGTTGCTTATTTGTGCACTTACATAAGTATGGGGATTATGTGGATCATGTTTAAAAACACCCCTTGTGTAACATTAGTTGAGTGTGAAACTTGAATTAAGAGCTTAGAAAGATCTAGCTGAGTATATTTAGGGGAAAAACATGCAACTATTGGTTGTTTTTCTGGTTGATCTTTTTGAATGACTTGAAGTGCTTTTTTGGAGTGTTACCTATTTTGAACATACACATACTAGTCAACCTTTATTTAATAGCAGAATTTTAAACTTCAAATTAAATTTCATTTTTAATTGAAGGTTTAATAAAATCTTTTTACCAACTTATAGAAAAAGAGGGCTGCAATTTGGAGAACTGCATTCTTATCTTGCTAGATAACATTAGGCAATTCACTTGTCTTTTCCTTATTTCTAAAATGAGAGGATTTGACCACTTCTCAACCCTAAAACATTGATTCCAACAGTGTATTTCTATATATACATTCATAAAGATTAATCACTTGTTTTCTTATATTTGTATTGATACTTTACATTTTCTAGGTTGTCCTTCCTTGGGACTTGGGGATAGAATTCAAGGACAAGCTGGAGATTAGGTTCTTTCAAATAGTAATTGGACTTACACTAACTGGAGTAAATTAGAGCCTAGCAGATGTGTGACACTTCTAAGATTTACTTTCTATTGTGAGCAGAGCAAAAAATAGTGTGTTCCTGAAATGGAACCTACTCACTTAACAGAAATCATGGATTTATTTTACAGAAACTTGGCATATACCTTTAATGGCCTCTGATGAAAATTGGATCATAAATAAAGACTCTCCTGTATTTGCTCTGACAACTTTAGAGTTATAAAAACCAATAAAAAAGCCCTACTGTATTTGTGCCCCTTACTATTGGCATTCTGTATCACAGTGGTACATTATAATTAACAACCCTCCAACAAAACATCATTATCACCAAAGTCAATAGTTTGCATTAGAGTTCACTGTTGGTGTTGTACATTCTCCGGGTTTGGACAAATGCATAATGACATGTATCCACCATTGTAGTATTATACAATAGTTTTTATTGCCCTAAAAATCCTCTGTTCTTTGCCTATTCATCCTTCTCTCACCCCAACCCCTGGTAACCACTGATCTTTTTACTGTTTTCATAGTTTTCCTTTTTCAGAATGTCATGGAGTTGGAATCATATGCTATGTAGCCTTTTCAGATTGGCTTTTTTCACTTAGTAATATGCACTTAAGTTTCCTCCATGTCTTTTCATGGCTTGATAGTTCATTTCTTTTTAGCACAGAATAATATTTCATTTATCTGGATATACCACCATTTATTTACCCATTCACCTACTAAATAACATCTTGGTTGCTGCTAAGTTTTGACAGTTATGAAAAAAGCTTCTATAAATGTCCATGTTTAGGTTTTTGTATAGATATGTTTTTAATTTACTTGCAAATATACCAAGGAATATAAGGATCATGTGGCAAGAGTATGTTTACTTTTGTCAGAAACCACCAAACTGATTTCCACAATGGCTATATCATTTTTTTATAAGATACCATTAAGCCCCTTTTATTTTATTTTTATATATTTATTGATTTCAGAGAGGAAGGGAGAGGGAGAAGGAGATAGAAACATCAATAATGAGAGAGAATCATTGATTGGCTACCACCTGCATACCCCCTACTAGGGATAGAGCTCACAATCCAGGCATGTGCCCTTGACCAGAATCGAACCTGGGACCCTTCTATCTGCAGGCTGATCCTCTATCCACTGAGCTACACCAGCTGGGCAGCTATATCATTTTGCATTCATACCAGCAGTGACTGAATGAAATCCTATTGTCAGCACTTGGTGGTGTCAATTTTCTGGATTTTGATCTGTAGTGGTATCTTGTTTTAATTTGTAGTTCCTTACTGACATGATGTGGAGCACCTTTTCATTTACTTACTTGCCATCTGTATATCTTCTTTGGTGAGCTTTCCAGGTCTTTTGCCCATTTAAAAAATATATTTTTTTATTAATAAGAGAGAGAGAGGAAGGGAGAGGGATAAATAGAGACATCGATCAGCTGCCTCCTGCATGCCCCCCACTGGGGATCAAGCCTGCAATCCCAATCATGTGCCCTGACTGGGAATTGAACCAAGGACCTCTTGGTTCTTTGGTCCATCCATGTTCAACCACTGAGCCACACCAGCTGGGTTTTTGCCCATTTTTTAATTGGGTTGTTTCTTATTGTTGAGTCTTAAGAGTTCTTTGTATATTTCAGATAACAGGCCTTTGTCATAGGTGTCTTTTGCAAATATTTTCTCACAGTTTGTGACTTGTCTTCTCATTCTCTTGACATTGACTTTAGCAGAGGAGAGTTTTTTAATTTTAATAAAGATTAGCTTATCAGTTAACTTTCATGGATCATGCCTTTGGTGTTATATATATAACTCATTGCCATAGCCAAGGTTATATAAGTTTTCTCCTTTGTTATTTTCTAGGAGTTTTATTGTATTGAGTTTTACATTTAGGTCTATGATCATTTTTTAGTTAATTTTGAAGAGTCTCAGGTCTGTGTCCAAATTCATTGTTTTTTGCATGTGGATGTCTAGTATTCCAGCACCATTTGTTGAAAAGACTGTGTTTGCTCCATTGCTCCTGTATTGTCATTGCTCCTTTGTCATAATTATGAGTTTACTCCTACTTTCTTAAGGAGCCTTGAAGAAGATTGCTTTGTCATATATATTCTAGTTTCAACACTTGAACCACTAAGGATTACTAAGTTGAATTTCAGCTTGTAAAGTAGAATAGTGAAGAAAAGCAGTTATGTTTGAGACAAGTGACATAGTCTAAGCCAGTGATGGCGAACCTATGACATGTGTGTCAGAGGTGACACGCGAACTCATTTTTTTGGTTGATTTTTCTTTGTTAAATGGCATTTAGATATATAAAATAAATATCAAAAATTTAAGTCTTTGTTTTACTATGGTTGCAAATATTAAAAAATTTCTATATGTGACACGGCACCAGAGTTAAGTTAGGGTTTTTCAAAATGCTGACATGCCAAGCTCAAAAGTTTCGCCATCATTGGTCTAAGCTGTTATTTAATAGAAATACTTTTGAGTTAATGCAAAAAATACTTAACATTCTTCTAGATTTAGTAATTTATTTAAACGTGTGCTAAATTCTGCTTCTTACCCTTAAAACCCAAACTAGACATTCAGTGAGCTCTGAATTTTTTCTTGAAATGCAAAAATCAAGAAGAATGACATTTTAAAAAACATTGATTTTTAGAATGGTTCCTAGCTTTGGAGTTACTGTCTCATGGCTAGAGGACTTAAACTGTAAACCAGTATTTGTTTTTCTTTAACTTGTATCACTATTAAATTGCATTATATTTACATTATGGAAGTGGTATTAGCTTTGACTTGCATATGCTCAAATGTATAAAGAGATCTGGGAAGTAATGAAATATCCTATGTTAGACAGCGTGGAGTGATGTATGTCCCGTGTAACAGGTTTATGTCCACTCTGGAAGGCAATCCTCATTCCTATTATACTGATTATTGCCTTGTGGGAATATTTGTGTTGCCAGGTCTTTCAGTTTTTCAAGAGGAGCCAAAAAAAATCTGGATTTTGAAGAATCTGAAATCTCCCAATTTTGAAATACTGACAAATAATGCAAAATTGGAAAATATTTATGCAGGTGAAATTGAATATAGCTATGGTCTGAATGATACTGCTTTGTAACTTCAGACCTAAGGGGATGCTTCTTGGAAATAAATATAAGGCTTTAGATGCCCCACTTAATGTATACCAGTTAAGAAGAGAGGCTTACAAACACTTGTTGATGAGAATGTATTATGCTTCTAAGTGTAGATATTATTTTCTATGACACAGATACATAGACATATTTTTTCTCAATTTCTCATTTAAGGTCTCAGCCAATTTCCTCTCCAGTCATCCTTCAGTTTGGTCATGCAGAGACTCTTCTTCCACTGCTTTCTCTCATGGGGTACTTCAAAGACAAAGAGCCCCTCACAGCTTACAATTACAAGGAACAAATGCATCGGAAGTTCCGAAGTGGTCACATTGTACCTTATGCCTCAAACCTGATATTTGTGCTTTACCATTGTAAAAATGCTAAGACTGCTAAAGAAGAATTCCGAGTGCAGTTGTTATTGAATGAAAAGGTGTTACCATTGGCTAACTCGCAAGAAACTGCTTCTTTGTATGATGATCTGAAGAACCATTACAAGGACATCCTTCAGAGTTGTCATACCAGTGAAGAATGTCAATTACCAAAGGTGAACAACACATCTGATGAGCTATGAGTAACTGGAGAACATTTTTAATTCATCAGGAATCGATAGGACGTGATTACGTGCGTGGAGTATGTGGGCAGTCCCTGGTTACAGAAAGCTTTCACATTACTTGGGTATTTCTGTCTTCATAGAAAAACAATGAGTTTCTTTTTTAGTCTGGACATGAACGTGTAAGCAACAATTCTTCACTGGAGCAGCTCTCTTAAGGGGAAAAATATCTATTCAAAGAAATAGTTGGCACTGCAAATGTTTACAGAAGTTAAACTCTTCCTTTTTATATAAGAAATCTCACACTGAGAATATGTTTTCCAAATATAGCTTGAAAATGCTGGAGTAACAAAGTATGTCAGTTGGATGATCCATAACTTGATTGAACCAAGTCTAGGAACTTTACCAGTTGTGCTGCAATTCTCTCTTTTTTTTTCCTCAAGTAGCACAGTTCTAGTATTATCTTTCTTAATCAGAAATATTGTGATACATTGGGAATATCATTTTGGAAGAAAGCTAAGATCTCTGAGAATTTGAAACAATATCAAGCAGTCTGATGTAAGAGGACACTTTCACTGAAGACAAAAAATAAAATAAATGTTTTTGTTAATAGTATTTATAAAGCATTTGAAGACTTTTTCAATAATTCCTTTTAGACTTCTACTAAGTCCTGCAAGGCCAGTCTTTAATTGTCATACCTGTTTTATATATAAAACAATAGAATGACAGAGGACCATTAGCAATGTCAGATGGATAGAATCAAAGTTCCTTCAATCCATTGCTTAGCAGTTTCTGGCATTCTGTCACTGCTTCAGTTTTTATACACGGGGTCCCAAAAAATATATACACACTTTGAATAATTATAAAAGCAATGTTTATTAAAAGACATTTCATTTTCAAAATGTAGTAGAATCAGCTGTTAAAGTTTGTGTATACATTTTTGGGGGACAGCCTATAGTTTGCTATTACATCTTTTGAAATATCTTTTGGTTGTTTAATTTTTTTCATTCCTTTTGTTTATTATTAATTTCAGGGAGGAATGGAGAGAGAGAGAGAGAAACATCAATGATCAGAGAGAATCATCAATTGGCTGCCTCCTGCATACCCCCTGCTGGAGATTGAGCCCCAAACCTGGGCATGTGCCGTGACCACGCATCGAACCCTGACCTCATGAGTCAATGCTCAATTACCAAGCCATACTGGCCAGGCTCTTTTTAAAAAAAATAAAGACTTTATCCTGGCTGGCTTAGTTTCACAGATATGAACCCGTTTTTAAAAAGAGTTCTGAATTCTGTCAAATACCATGAAAAGTTTTTGCTATAATAATAGGCAGAATTCTTGCCCTGGCTGGCTTTACCTAGTGGTTAGAGCATTGGCCGGCAGGCCGAAGGGTTGTGGTTTCGATTCCCATCAAGAGCACATACCTCAGTTGCTGGCTCCATCCCCTACCCCGTCAGAGTGTGCGGTAGTCAACCAATCTATGTGAGACCAATGTCTCTCTGTCTCTCCCCTCCCTTACACTCTCTCTAAAAAAATCAATGGAAAAAATACCCTTGGGTGAGGATTAAACAAACAAAAAACAAAATTCTTGGTCTTTTCTACTCTTCGTGTTGATAAAAAATCAGTCATTGATGGTAAAAGTTTGGGAGTTTAAGCCGCTTTGACTAAATCAGGCAATGCAAGGCAATATTCTTGTAATTGAAATATTCTCAAATAAATGGAAATCCATTTTATTAAAAAATCTAAGGAGCATCACAGCTATATATTGCAATTATAAAAAAAGATGCATGGATCATTGATCTTCAAATTAATAATGTTCTTAAAATAGATAATTAGCTGGTAAATCCTGTTGATCCATTAATATACTGCTGGTTGTTCCTGCAAAAATGTCTGGTGCTTGCTTTTTTAAAAACTATGTAAATAGGTAGATAAGAGAATAAGGTAATGAACTTTTATGCCCATTGTCCTCTTTTATAAAAATTAGCATTATAATATTTGACTTGGATCCAAATAAGAACAATTGAGGACTTATATGCTTCCCTGATGCTATTGACCTCACTCACTGCCAGTATAAAATTCAGTAATCACCATTCCATTACATGCTTGACTCTGGAAGCTTGTAGTATTATTGTGGAAGTTTTAAAATATTCTATAAAAGGACATACTGTGCATAGTATTCTTGAATCTGCTGTATTTGTTCTTCAAGATTTATTAATCCCGATCATTTGTCACAAATTAGTATCATCAATTCATTAATACCTGTTGAGTACTTTTTATGTACAAACACTAGATCCAGTCTGTGGGCATCTAACGTTGAATGAACACAATTCTTACAACTTACATGTGGAAGTTATAGCAGTTGTTTAATTTCATTGTTAAATAGAACGATGTTGTCATCTTTGTAGTCATTGCTAAGTAAAATATTTCAGGATGATGGGTAAATGTGGTCCATTTGTGCTAATACAGAGATAGAGATAGAGGTAGAGATATTGTTCTGGTGCTATTATTCTCATTTTGGAAATGCCTGAAACAAGATCATGATGAAAACTAAAGGTCTTACCAGGATAGGATATATCAAAAATAATAGGTGACCAAATTACTTCAGTTAAGCCAAATTGAATCCTGTCTGGCATGACATTTTAGCCTATGGACATTAGTCATTTTTCTGTTTAATCTACAAGTTCATGAGTGCAGTGTATTGTATGTATTGGTTTTTCTAATCATTTTGAAGTTTCTGCTCTCCAAAACACATAATCATCCACTGGATACTATTTTTGTATATACCATAATCTTAATCTTTAATTTTAATACTGAAAGCAAAACTCAACTTGTAAAGAAAAAAGAGCTTGTTTTTTCCAGGCATAATCAACTTTCATATCTTTACGTGAGTGCTTTCCTTTTGTAAACTGGAGAACTGACAGAGGCCCTTAAATTGCCAGAAGTTAAAGCAACCAAACCAGAATATATAAGTATACATTTTTGGATTATATTTCTCTAAGGTGGCATTTCATGTGGTTCATTAATTATCTTTGGAATTTGGACTGTCTTCTGCCAAATGTAAACCTAAAATAAACATTTGCATTGTCATATAATTTGCCTATATCTAACTTCTGTACTTCACAGATCACTTAATTCTCTCCTAATCATTCGTTTTCTCTTAAGCATTTTAAGCAGCTCAATTCACTTTAAGCACTTCCACATTAATCTATTAAGCTATTTTTAATTGGTGTGTGTGTGTGTCTGATAGTTTTTTTTGAGAAAATTTCACAGCAAGAAAAAAGATGTCATATTCTTCCAGCTAAAAGATTTGTAGTTAGCTCAATGCCTGGCAGTTTAGGAGGAGGTTAACTTTTAAAATTTTGTTTCACTATCTTTACTGAGACAATACATGTTAATACAGGATTCTTAATTTTATTTCTAAAATTCATAATTTATTATTTCCCTGTACTATTCACAGATTTTATTTTTTTTCTTAATTGATTAAGGTATTACATATGTGTCCTTATTCCCCCTATGCCCCCCCCACCCTACCCCCACTCTTGCCCTCACCCCGCTGGTGTCTGTGTCCATTGTTTAGGCTTATATGCAGCATACAAGTCCTTTGGTTGATCTCTCCCCCTTACCCCCACCCTCCCCTACCTTCCCTCTGAAGTTTGATGGTCTCATCGATGCTTGTCTGTCTCTGGATCTGTATTTGTTCATCAGTTTATATTGTTCATTATATTCCATAATATTCTCAGATTTTAAACCATTATTTAGACCCAAGCATTTCATGTTCACACTTTTATTTGTTGTACTGGGAGAACAATATTTGTTCATTAAAATGGCAGCCTTCCAAATTGAATTGTACTCCTAGTATAATGAGGAAGTTTTATTAGAATACTTATTTTACATTATTTCTGAAGTGGGTAATATGGAAAATTAAGTTGGGATAGCAATCTACAGATTCTCTCAGCTTTTTTTCATTAGAGTTCATTCTACCAGCCTTGGTTTTGATTGTCTTTTTACCTAATATTAACAATTTGGATGCTTTTGAAAATCTTTTCAACGAATACTCTCATTCTGGAAAAAAATAATCCAGTATATTATATAAGAACTAGAGTCCCGATGCATGAAATTCTTGCAAGAATAGGCCTTCCTTCCCCCGGCTGATGGCACTGGCTTCCCTTGCAGCCCTGGCTTCGTCTGGAATGTCGTCCAGAAGGACGTCCGGTCTAATTAGCATATTATGCTTTTATTATAGATATACTGGTGAAATATATCTTTGGATACATACAGATGAGAAAGTTTATTTTATTTTTCTTGTTTTTTTCTTTTTTTTTAAATATATTTTTTATTGAGTTTTTACAGAGAGGAAAGGAGAGAGATAGAGAGTTAGAAACATCAGTGAGAGAGAAACATCAACCAGCTGCCTCCTGCACACTCCCCACTGGGGACCCGCCCGCAACCAAGGTACATGCCCTTGACCTGAGCCGAACCTGGGACCTCTCAGTCCGCAGGCCAACGCTCTATCCAGTGAGCCAAACCGGCTAGGGTACTAATATTGTTTTTAACTAACAGCTTATTTTTAACCAGTA